GGCTGATTACAATCTATCGACAAAATAGCAAAGCACATTCATATTTAGAGTAAAGCAGTAATAAATGCTCGCTTTACAACGTTCGGTAAGGCTTTAAATGATCTTTGATGGTTAATTTTGGTACGGGGAGCTGATACGCTCCTATATTTAACTTAGAGTCCTTTTAGAGCGCAGCTCTTAGGCGCCCGTTTCCGGCTTGAGCGGCGTCGCCGTCGGCGTCGGCGTAACCGCGCGGTGCATTATGGGTAAATTTCGCCGCTAAATCTAGCGGGAAAATTTTCCCGCTAAATCTAGCAGAATTCCCCGCTATAGCGGAAAAATTTCCCCGCTAAATCTAGCGTAAAAATTTCCCCGCTAGATCTAGCGGAAAAATTTCCCCGCTAAATCTAGCGGAACAATTTCCCCGCTAAATTTAGCGTAAAAATTTCCCGCTAGATCTAGCGGAAAATTTGCCCCGCTAAATCTAGCGGGAAAATTTCTGCGCTAAATCTAGCGGAAAAAATTTCCCGGCTAAATCTAGCGGAAAAAATTTCCCCGCTAAATCTAGCGGGAAAAATTTCCCCGCTAAATCTAGCGGAAAAATTTTGGTCACGTGACCCGGGGGGGGTCACGTGACCTGGGGAGTCACGCGACACCCCGAGGTCACGTGACCTCTGAGGGGGCACGTGATTGCCCCCAGGTGACCCCACCAAGGTCACGTGCCCTCGGGGGGGGGTCACGTGAGCCCCCCCCCCCCCCCCCCCCCCGAAAACACGTGGCCCTCAGTACCCTCCCCTCCTCCTCCTCAAGAGCTGCGCTCCGATTCGGCGTTACAGGGAGTGGTAAACGCTTTCACTTGTTTGTTTTAATTTATTTTAGATTGCCGATACTCTTTTCTAAATTTTCCCAGTTTTGGTATTGACATTTTACAGTCATCTCGGCTGTAAGATGTTTACAGTCTATGGCCATCCAAATCCTTCTGTAGCGGTGAGGGCGTTTCGCATATAAGAGAACACGCGGGCATTGCACCCGGGGAAGAAGGCTTTTGCCGGAACACCAAGATACCTGATTTGCCGAGACAACAAAAACGGCTCTCTTGACCGGTGCTCGGGATGCCCACTAGATGGCGCCGGTAACCACCACCTCCCAATTCGAAGATCGTGGTGTGGCGGCGCATCCAAAAACCTGTCCGCGCCAAGGCGACTCTATTTTCGCGGAGCGAGTTGCATTTCTCCGTAAAGTATTTCCTTACTGTATCGTCCCTGCATTTACTAGTGCATTTTCAGCAATGCGCGTTTCGTGGAAAAGTTCTTTAAGGAGCTGCCCAACGACTTCAGCCTTGAAAGAATTTGCATCTTCTATTTTCGACATTGTTTACCTTGTCACGAAGGACAGAAAACACATCTTCCTTCGATATGTTGCGATTCTGCCGTCTAATCGCGAGGTAAAATTTAGAATATTTCCCTATCTGCAACCGCAAACGACGGCCACGAGAACCGCGCGGCGTTACTTCAAATGCGGACCTTTAAAAAAATAGCAATTTGTGCAACTACTTTCTCAATAAAAAAAAATGTTTTTTCTATAAATCTTGTTATTCCAACATAAATATAGATACGTCCCAAACCTGGTATCATCGACAAAGCTTTATAAAGAGTTACTGTGGCGCCATCTATCCGAGGTCAACAAAACCGTCAGCTCTATCTGCTGCCGCGAAGAGCCGCCGGAAACCGGACTTTAGCCAGACGGCCGCAGAGGACCACCGGACCCGGACGTGTACGTTGGCACTTTCCTCCTTTCTCCATGTTGTTCGCGCTGGGCAAGCACGTGGTCACGTGGTCGCGAGCGGGTGAGTTCTCGCTGCTCACTGAAGGCTCTAGAGAGAGAGCTTCACCGGAACCCCGCGCGTCCCCCATTGACGTTACAGAGCACGTGACTCGGAAGATGGTGAAGGAGTTGAGAGGTGACAGAAACCTCAATCTTTGTCATATTTCTTTTAAACTGAAAACTAGGGCATGCAGGCAAAGCGGTTTTTGTTTTTTTACTTCAAAAGGGTCGAGACACCAACTCCCACAATTATTTAAAGGGGGGGGGGGGGGGTGCAACGATTTCCGGACTTCGGTCAAAGATTTCGGGAAGTTGCCCTCTGACACTTCTGAAGTAAAGAACAGAAAACCGATTTCGCCTGCGTGTCCTAGTTGTTGCGTAAAAAAAAAGATAAAGGTTGGCATTTCGGGCACCCCTCAACTCACTCCCAGCTTTCAGGGTCACACCTGGTCCCCCTCCTAGTGACGTCATTCGGAGTGCCGTGTAGCTTCCCGTGTGCTTGCTCGGAGGACGCTTCCTCTCCCTCTCCCTGCTGACATTAGCAGGCGTTATGCTGCAGCTTAGAGCCTCGAGCGAGGTCACGTAATCTTTTCGCCGTAGTTGCTTCGGTTGCCACTTGGGGCTGCAGGTGGGGAAAAAGCTCGACTTTTGCTTCGCGATTATGCAGCGGAATCGCGACATTTTTAATGAAGGGGGTGTTTTCTTTATCCTACGGGACACGATAAACAAGGTAAAAATGACGAGATGCAAATTCTTGTAATCATAAAATCGTTGCACCGATAAAGTGGGTGAGATCGTGTTTCTACCAAGACCTCCAGTCTTAGGCAGGAAACACATGTACGACGAAACCGTCCGATCCGACGTCCGATCAGGCAATACGACGGTCGGAGGCGAGGGTTTTCAACGCTCTCCAGTGTTACGAAAACTCTCGCCCCCGAAGGTCATTCCCGCAGTTCTCACGTGGGATCGGACGGTTTCGTCGTACATGTGTTTCGCGCAGTCTTGGGTAAGTTACTTTTAAAAAGTAATTCGTTACAGTTACAGTTACTTTAAAAAAAAAGTAATGAAGTTACCGTTACAGTTACCGCAACAAAGAAGTAACTCGTTACAGTTACAGTTACTTTTAAAAAGTAACGACCGTTACTTTTCAGTTACTTTTTCTATAACACAAAAAAATATTTGTAAAAAACTAGAAAACGCTTTTCACCAAGTTTATTTGCATAAAATTAAAAAAGTGTGCTCTTTACTACGCATTGTAAGTTAGCAGCCTTGTTTGATAACGAACACGTCCCTGCCCTTGTTGAACAGGCGCTCGTCTAACGCACTAGATGGAATTGCAGTGTTGTTTCGTCGGAAAAAGGTTTTTGATTGCCGGGTAGGCGGTGAGGCAATAGAGTGCCGTTTTCTGCGGTCAATGTGTTAGTAGCCTCCTCCACGTCAGCAAAATACTCTGTACGCCGGCCATGGTAGTTTTTCTTTGTTGTTATCAACATTCATATCATTGGTAGCACTAGCACATTGCTGGCTCATTGACGGTTGCGCTGGGTTCATAGAGTCCCTGGACATATTTCAGTTTGTACCCGGCAAGCCAGAAACAAACCCCGCGCTAACAGCAGTAAATTTTGCCTCCACTGTAGACACTATACCGGATTAATGGCGCAAATCAAAATACGAAACATGCGCAGTGCGGAGTGGTGGCGCTAATCAAAATACGAAACATTCGCAGTGCCCTCCGCGTGTATTGTTGTTTCACGTTTGATTCATTCGATTAAGAAGCGTTTGCGCAGAAAAAAAGAAAAATCACGAAAGAGATAGTTCTTCAAGACACTAAAATGCAAGTGTTCAGTCACAAAGTACAAGCGCGTGCTAAAGATAACTACTTTTTTTTTTTTTCACATGGCTATATTCGGGTCATGATTGGCGAGAAAGAACGTATTCACAAGTCTGTGCAAAAAATAACTTGACACTCAAAATGTCGGAAGAGACAATTTGGAAAGCGCAAAAAATGGCTAAATTGTACTCGTTCAGTGATATATTATTCATAAAAAACTGAAAAGTAACGACAAAAGTAACGTCGTTACTTTCATCGTTACCTCAAAAAAAGTAATAGAACTACAGTTACAAGTTACATTTTTAGAAAGTAAGTCGTTACAGTTACAAGTTACCAAAAAAGTAACAAAATTACAGTAACGCGTTACTAGTAACGCGTTACTACCCAAGACTGGTTTCGCGCTTTACGCTTCATCAAGTGACGTTTCACGTAACACTGGTAAAGTTATGCTATGTCGCTATGCCATGTTGCTTGCACGTATCGTATTTTTTATCGCTGTGTCGAAAGATACGTCGGACGTATCCGGAAATGCGTCGGACGTAGCCGCGATGGTAAAGGGTCGTATCACAGCGGGTAATAGCGTTTCTTAGTGAGACGCCACTGTCAATTTTCATTCCATCTTTATTTCTCATTGATACCGTAACTAACCATTCGATGCATTCCTTTCTTTTCACACCCGCGATGTTCAAGCAGGGGGGGGGGGGGGGGAGGGGGGGGGGATTACATTCGGGAAATGCTCCGAAATTACAAAATTTGTGCAAGAAGTAGCAATTTATTATAGGAAATTCATAAGTTCAATGTCGCAGAAGATACAAAACCAACCCTAGACAGAATTAGCGCGCTCGCCGTCAATTCTCACTGCGCACCATGGTCAACCAGTTGCTCTCACTACGACTCGGCGAGTCCTCGGTGGCCCCGCCCAGTTAGCTGCATACAAACTCACGGATTTTCTTCTCGAGTTCCGAATGTCGACTGTTGCCTTATTGAGCGGTCCCGTACACTTTTTGCAGGTCACAGCGCCCTCGAATACAACTCCCGCTATCGTCTCCACCGTATCACACGGTATCGCAGATGCTCTGCAGTGCCGTGGTTCCCGATGACTTTCGCGTACGTGATTACCGTTCGCTTTAACTTCACTGTGTACAAAGTCCTCTTCGCACTCATGGTGGACAGCAAAGTTCTTAACGTCTAAACAAATGAGCTGAACCACGTAAAAAAAAAAAGAGGCGCGCTTGCAAGTCAGACGACGGAGTCGAACGAAAGGCGATGAAACAGAAACAGAACACACAACGCCTTACTTGTGCCCATATTATAACGCGTCTGTGCCGTAGCGTAAGTGCCGTTGTGTGCCACCATCTACCAAGTGATGACGAAACTGAGTGCTAGGGACCAAAAGGTGGTGTGCTGGCATGTAAAGGTGAGAACAAAGCTAAAAACGTGGATTGAACTGTCAAAGAGAAGGGGAAAGAAAACAAGCGACGTTTCGAACGCTCAGCCTTGTTGGAGAGCAGACATCGCATGTCTCCTATCTCTAATTTCTTCTGCATAATTGGGGTGCTTACAATATGTCCGACGTGTCGTTAGACTCGACGTTCCGGGTACGTACGACATACCTTTAATCTACGCGTTCCGTATACGCACGACGTACCTTTAGACTTCTCGTTCCGGATACGTCCGACGAACCTTTAGACTCCTCGTTCCGGATGCGTCCCACGTACCTTTAGCCTCTCGTTCCGGGAATGTCCCACGTACCTTTCGACGTTCCGTGTACGTCCTACGTACCTTTAGACTCCGCGTTTCGGATACGTCCGACGTACCTTTAGACTTCTCGTTCCGGATTCGTGCAACGCCACCTTTAGACTTCTTGTTCCAGATACGTCCGACGTACCTTTAGACTCCACGTTCCGGGTCGGTCCGACGTACGTTTAGACGTTCCGTTTGCGTCCCACGTACGTTTAGACTCCGTGTTCCGGATACGTCCGACGTAATTTTAGGGTCCTCGTTCCGGGAATGCCCCACGTACCTTTTGACGTTCCGTGCACGTCCCATGTACCTTTAGACTCCGCGTTCCAGATACGTCCGACGTACCTTTAGACTTCTCGTTCCGGATACGAGCAACGTTACCTTTAGACTTCTTGTTTCAGATACGTCCGACGTACCTAGACTGAGACAAAAGAAAATACCATCGATGTTGCAAGTGATGTGAAAAAGAATTACAAAAAGATGAGTTTTGAGCAGAGATCGCGGCCGTCCTTCTGCCGGGAGTTTTTGGCAACTTGACGCTTGCGACGAACATTTATAAAACAGGTATTAGCAAATTAGCCTTTCGTTGCTTATTAACATTCAGTTATTTTTGTCCCCTTGCGGAATGTAATAATATAGCAGCCGATCTACATATTGCCTCCTTTCCTGAAAGGCGCGAGTCAGGATACACCGCACCAAACGCCGAGGAGAAGTCGACGAAAAGCGTCATGTGTGGTTTGGTGGCCTTCCCCTCTTCCCTTCTGTGAAAAATCTCGACGAATTTACGCGTTGATACGCGCGTAAATTCGTCGAGAATACACCCTATTTGGGTCGGCCTTACTTCTTGTTCCGGATACGTCCGACATACCTTTAGACTCCTCGTTCCGGGTACGTCCGACGTACCTTTAGACTCCTCGTTCCGGGTACGTCCGACATACCTTTAGGCTCCTCGTTCCGGGTACGTCCGACGTACCTGTAGACGTTTCGTGTACGTCCCACGTACCTTTAGACTCCGCGTTCTGGATACGTCCGACGTACCTTTAAACTTATCGTTCTGGATACGTCCGACGTAGCTTTAGACTTCTTGTTCCGGATACGCCCGACGTAGCTTTAGACACCTCGTTCCCAATACATCCGACGCACCTTTAGACGTTCCGGGCACGTCCGATCTACCTCTAGACGTTCTGTGTACGTCCGACGTACCTTTAGACTCCGCGTTCCGGATACGTCCGACGTACCTTTAGACACAGTGTTATTTTATTTGTCGTTTTCTTTTTTTTTCAGCACAGTTTCCCTACAACGCCTTCTACGTTCGAAGAAACATTTCGAGTAATTAGGGGTATTCGTGTGCCCTAATGCTGTCAAACCTGTCAGATGTCAACTTCTAATTTAGACACCTTTTGAAAACCTAGAGTAGTACGGAACACGTGAAAACAAACCAAACCACTCAGAAATTAGGAGTGCGTTCATTACGACTAGTCCAATATTTACGATAAGCCCTAAAGTCCACGCCACGCAGTGACGCTCAGGCGCTCACACAAATCTCTTCCCGCGAACAAAAAAGAAAAGGACACAGGGACTTAGAGGCAATATGTGACGCTGCAGCTACACCAAACGAGCTCGCTAATGGCGTCTGAAGATGTCGAGCGCGGCGCGTAATCCTATTATAGAGATTTACTAGTTGCTAATTTTTTTTTCCGCCGTCCGAGTTTTTCAACTGTCCCCCAGTGCCCGCCTCCCTGCTTGAGCCGAGATCTGAAACACGCTGCGGGCACTTCCGCTTCGACGTTTCTAACGACTGTTTCGAAATCCTCTATTGGCGCCGCGCTGCGTTATGACTAATTGGGCAGAGTTTGGGGACCGTGCGGTTTCCTTGACAAAGCTGGGCGCATATAGTTTGCGCGCAGGGATCGATTGATGGTAAATCCAGCACGACGACTTCGGCAAAAACGCCGTAACGATCCTTGGGTCTATCTATACTTGAGCAATCGCTCATCGGGTCGTGGAGCGTGTACTTCCCCCAAAGTCCAAGACGCTCGAGCAATAAGAAGATAACGATTGTTGACGATCGTTAACGGACCGATTTCAGTCTACTTCGTTTCAACTCAGATCCTGAGGCAGTCCGAGGCTACGAGCTGATGGTACCAATCAGACAGCGTCAAAAGTGCGCCATCATAGTGTTCGTCATGTTTCCGTGCGTGTTCTATCATTGCGGAAGCAATCGTAAACATAAAAGGCCCAGTGACTTGCGCTTTTGAAGCTGATTGGTTGCTCCCTTTAGCTCGTAGCGTCGGCTACTTGTGGACTTTATCTGAGACGAAGTATAGCCATGGTCACTGAGAGCCTTACAAGCGCAGGGCGTCGCGTCACCTGGTACCTTATCATCGTTCCTCGATGGATAAGATAGCGGCATTGGCCTATAACAATGCACAAGAACGAATAACAAAGCAAGGAGTGTGACCATATATGGCCACACCTTGCGTTTTTCAAAAGGGCAACTGCGGTCAATATTTCTGAATTTGGAATTACGACTGTTTTCAGCTAGGGCTGTGTCCCTGAATTACGAGGTATACAAAGTGTTTTTTTTTCTTTTTTTTTAAGCTTAAAGGAATTTTTTAAAGGAAACCGTGAAAGCTAGATTAATCCAGTCTGCGCAGGGGAGTTATACGGCCAGGGGGACATAGTATAGGGGTCTCATCGTAACGATCAGTCGGCTAAATAGTTAAAATTTGTTAATTAACTTTTTAATTAATGAAAATAGGCGTGTAGTTTCAATTAAAAACTTGCTCAGCGTCATCGAAAACCACAAAATCAGTAAAGTTCACAAAGACTTTGAACGCGTGAGAAGCGTAGTAGTGCACTAAAGTTACCACTCGTGGAGCAGGTACAAGGCTGGGGCTAGATAAGAGACGGAAAAATTGCGCGGGCGTCTTACCGCAACCGCTAGCCCTGTACTGTACTTGCTCCACGAGTGGTAATTTTAGTGCACTACTACGCTTCTCACGCGCTCAAAGTCTTTCTGAAAATTAGTGATTTAGTGGCTTTCGATGACGCTGAGTAAGTTTCTAATTGGAACTATATGTCTATATTAATTAACGTATTTTAACTAATTAGCTCACTGATCGTCACGATTAACCCACTATACTATACCCCCCTGGCCGTATAACTCACCTGCGCAGATCGCATTAATCTAGCTTTCATGGCTTTTTTGGAAAAAATTCTGTTACGCTTAAAAAATAAACACCCTGCATATACATATCTATCTATCTATCTATATATATATATATATATATATATATATATATATATATATATATATATATATATATATATATATATATATATATATATATATACAACGGGCATGGTGGCGGGAGGCCGAAGGCGTGGGTATATAACTTCGACGTTTCGGCCGGAGTCCGGCCTTCGTCAGGAAGCCAGACTCCGGCTGAAACGTCGAAAAATAAATCGTCCGTTGTTGCTGTTTTCACTAAGGGTTTTTTCTTCTCCGTTATATATATCTATATACATCTATATCTATATATATATATATATATATATAAAACTGAGAAGAAAAAAACCCTTAGTGAAAAACAGCAACAACGGACGATTTAATCTTCGACGTTTCGGCCGGAGTCCGGCCTTCGTCAGGAATACTACACTAAGGGTTTTTTTCTTCTCAGTTTTATACCCACGCCTTCGGCCTCCCGCCACCATGCCCTCTATATATATATATATATATATTCGATGTCGCGTGTAGTTTCATAAATGTCATAGCTCGAACCTTGGTTTCAGGTGTCTACGGCAAAACCGAGACTATCTGCTAGAGGGTTGGCAACACTGATCATCATCCGTACAGCCGCGACCTGACGCCATCGTGTTGCATTGGTACGAGGCACAACCAATCAACCGCAACTCCACCGCGACGTGACGTAACAAGGCCGGGACCAGTGTTCCTTGACTAAAAGCTAACTAGCTTGCCGCCCGCTAAAGAGCTGCTGGGCGCATCTTTAAAATCAGTTTTAGTGGAGTAGGCGACTTCAATTTGACCGTCAGTGACGTAATGTTTTGGCTGCGATCATATTTCGGGCAACTAAAAGAATACCAGTCATTTATTTTGATTACGTTTTCTACCAGAGTTGCTCCTTAAGTTGTTACTGACTATGCTGAACCAATCGCTAAATAGTCACGAACGCATAATTATGTTATGCGATAGCGCTGAAAGGGCGACGGCTCGGCTAGGGGGATCCAAGAAAACGAGGAGGCCGAGGCTCAGTAGCTTAACATATCCAAAACTTTCAGTGAGCTTTCCAGGGTCGGTTTGCTGATCAATGCGGGTACCTCTCCCGGATTTTTAGTTCACGTGACCGACTCAATGAGGAGAACTCCCTCAAACACCAGAGAGGCGAACAAAAAGAAGCATACAAGGCAGAAGAAAAAAAAAAAAAGAGGCACCGTTCGAGGACTTAACCCTAATCGACTGCTCCGGGAGGGCGATCCCTCACAGGCCGCTCATTCATTTCCCCAAGGAGCGAGAAACAAATGAGTCTGACCACGTTATGCAAAAAAAAGAAAAAAAAAAAGGGCGACCGGGGCCGGTTCTTGCCCGGTACTGACGTCATGTCCTCAGCTGCCGTCCGTTGTGCCTAATTCCGGCGCAGCGACCACCCACGGCATAAATGGCTCTGCAACCGCCTAGCTCAGAACTTCACTTACAGCGCCGCGGTGCTATAATGCAATTCGGGACGAACAAAGAAATATCAATCCTAGCGACCGCCATCGAAGCCAACGCTGTCGACGAACGGAAAAAAACCGAACCGCCCTTGCCTACGCGATTAGGCCTGGAATGTTTAGGAAGAGCGAAGAATAAGGGACAAGGTTCGCTTCACTTGGCAATATGGCGGCGCTGGCCAAGGAGTAAACGCGTTTGTTCCCAGGTGATCCCCATTTACACTCCGCTGCTCTCATATATTTTTATCCTTTTATTTCTAGTTGTTTACTAGAAAATAAGAAAGACAAAACAAAAATAAGGGTGATCGGTGAATTAACGAGGCCACTATCCCGGAATTCGGGATGGAGCTTCGATCCCCATTGCTGAATTCCTTCGAGGGCACTTGTTTTCACCTTTTTGTGGACCGCAGCGGAGGCAACGAGTCATCGCCAGACACTTCAGCTCTACGAGGCTTTTTTCTTCACTTGACTGCACCCTGCGCTTCTCTGCGTCCTTTGCTATAATCACGTGACACTCGCACAACCCTTGACTGGCTTAGGTGGCTTGGAGCCTCCGCTGTGCTTCATCGTAGAGGTAGGCGGAGTACAGAGCAGTGAAGGAAGCTCATCGGGGCGTGTCCGGCGGTAGACGGCTCCTCACCTTTCCTCCCCGCAGCAGTAACGACGGGCGTATTATTGCCGTTTCGCATCTGATTAGTACGATTCTAGTTATTTTATTTCCGATGTGACTGACTCGATTACCTATAATGACGTTTTTGTATTGCTTTGCTTTTTGCTTGGGTTCAACTTGTCTGTTTTATCATCGGAACTCTATTCAGGGTCTATATATTCAACAGCCAGACCAAACGAGGCACCGCTTTTCTAGCTTTTTGTTAATTTGCTTTCGTGCGTGTGTACTTCTCTCCCCGTGGGATTGCGGTGGCCACGAATGCGAGAGTATAAAAGTAAGATGAAACGCGGCGCATACTTGTTTACGCTTGAATGGACGTAAAGATAAAATTCATATCGGTCTTCATAACGAGGTTCTGGAACCGGACTTAAAAGAAATGGTCACTCTTGGAATTGGATCTAATCTTCTCTGACTCGAGTCTTTTTTTTTTTACTCCTTTATTTTAGTTCTTTTTTATTGTTTTATTTTAGTTTTTTTTTTTCTTTCCTTTCTATTGTAAGGCTGTTAATGATACCGTTTATTATGAGAGATTTACGCAAACCATAGGTGTAATGAGTATTAAGTACGTTTCAGGTTAGGATATTTGCTTACGTGACGACTGTAAGATCTTAACGCGTGTCGGGAAGCAGTATTCAGAGGCACACGCGCACGTTGTCGCCGATAGTGTTACTCCCTTTATTATGAAGACCAAACTCTAAATATTGTTAGGAAGAAGAAGTGGTACCGCAGAGTGGCGCGCGCTCGACGAGCATTCAGAGAGCTCGGACTGTTCCCGGACGAATGTCACCCCTACTATCCATCCTGTATCTAATTATTCCTCATTAAATCACCCTATATTTGTAACCTAATACGTGGTGGAGGTGCAGCAAAATCCCCGACCTTCCCCTCCGCTCATCTGACCTGGAGCTGCGCAGCGGCCGCTTCACCTCTGCAACCATGCCCGATCAGAACGCCAACACAACGGACCAGCGGCCTCTACACATCAAGAATCGCCAACGTGACCCCCCCGATTTCGCCGGTAGCCCTGATTCGGACGTCCAAGACTGGCTGAAGAATTATGACCGCGTGAGTCAGCATAATCGTTGGGACGACATGATCAAGCTCGCCAACGTTGTCTTTTTCCTGAAAGGCACAGCACTACAATGGTTCGACAACCACGAAACCGAAATCAATTCGTGGGACGCGTTCAAAGCCGCCTTTGCGGACGTCTTTGACACACCCGAACGCCGCAGACAGCATGCCAAGGACAAGCTTTCCAAGCGGTACCAAGCCGCTTCTGAATCTTCGACCTCTTATATCGAAGACGTACTCCGCCTTTGCAGTCGCGTCAATGCAGCTATGCCAGAGGACGAGAAAATCAGGCACCTCTTCAAAGGGTTGTCCCAGCAACTATTTTCTGTCGTCGCACCCAAATCGCCTCCGACCGTCCACCAGCTCATTGCGGAATGTAAGAAGTACGAAGAGCTACAAAGCGGCCGGATCCTCAAAGCTTCGTTTGAACGCCTCCCGGAAGTGTCTGCCCCATCTTCCGCCGGTGAGCTTCCTACTCTTATACGAAGAATCATTCGCGAAGAATTACGCGAATTTGTGGCTTCCTTTCGTCCCTCCGCCGACATTTCACGCCCACAAACCGAGACTTCTAGTGTTCAGCAAGTCATCAAGGATGAACTTCGGGCTGCGCTTTGCCCCATCGCACCGGTTCCTTGCCCTCACGTCCCGCCGCCTGCCTTCTCGCCGCCCATCTGCGCCTTGCAGCACGCATCCCCACACCTCTGCCCCGTGCAGCATTTAAATAACGTTTCCCCACCTCCTCGACGTTACGAACCACCCCGAAGAACTGAGGCATATCGCACCGAAGACAACCGTCCCGTATGCTTCTACTGCCACTCACCTGGCCACGTTATTCGCTACTGCCGCCGCCGTATTCAGTCCGAGACATACAATCGCAACCCTACTTCTACCCCACCCTTCAACGACCACAACCCCAGCCGCACCTCCGACGACCGCCGCAACTGGAGTCCTCCCCTTTTCCTGGTTCTCGGCGTGGCCGGTCCTCATCCCCCTACCCTCGACGCCGCTCTGTCTCGCCGTTTATTGATGCCACTGCCACATCTCCACCGTCAAACTAAACAACGCAGCCTGTCGTGACACAGGAGGTCAGGCTGCATCGCCGTCAACAGCCCCAAATCCTCCTTCTCTTGGCCCTACCACTATCGTCGTCGAAATTGGAAGAGAAAAAGTCGCAGCTTTAATAGACACAGGTGCAGCAAAATCCTGCATTTCTAATCAATTCCGTCGCCGTTTGCACAAAGTGCTAACTCCACCATCTCCTGGACATTTCCTTCGCATGGGAAACAGTGACCTCGTACAACCTCTCGGTCACTGCACTATACCGGTTCAGATCGGTGGTACTTCCTACATAATTCTATTCACTGTACTCGAAAATTGTGTCGTCGACGTTATATTGGGATGGGATTTTCTTTCGGCCACTGACGCGACCATTGACTGCGCCAGCCGGGAATTGCTCTTGAACTCTTCGCCGACTACTGACACCGCCTGTGAACCTTACCCCATTTTTCTTCATGCCAGTGGCGATTACATCTTACCTCCCCTCTCGGCTGCCTATATCACACTCATGCCGAACCGTCCTCTTCCATGCACCTCCGGTCTTATCGAGCCTATCGCCAGCCTTGTCACAAAGAAGCCTGTCATCATCCCCTACTGCATCGCCGACACACTTCAAGGACAGGTTTCTCTCTTCATCACCAACACCTCAGTTGAACCCCAAATTGTACCCCGTGGTGCCCGCTTGGCTACACTCACTACTCATATCTACGACAACTTCGTACCCCTTTCTGACAGTATTAACATTCAGACCTTGCCAGCCCCTCCGGACGCCAACATGCACGTTGCGAAGATGATAGACGCCCGCTTATCTGACGGTCAAAAAGAAGCTTTAACCCAGCTTCTTCTTTCATATGACGACCTCTTCGATTTCGACAATCGACCCCTTGCACAGACGTCGGAGGTCTCCCATCACATCGAAACGGGCGAAGCCTCTCCCGTTCGAAGTCGTCCCTACCGAGTTTCATCGGCAGAGCGCCAGGTCATTCACGAACACGTCACTGATATGCTTCGCAAGAAAATAATTGAACCCTCATCAAGCCCCTGGTCGTCACCTGTAGTCCTCGTAAAGAAAAAAGATGGAACCTGGCGCTTTTGCGTAGATTACCGACGCTTAAACAAAATTACTTCCAAGGACGTCTACCCTTTACCCAGAATTGACGACACTCTCGACACTCTTCAAGGATCATCCTTCTTCTCTTCAATGGATCTTCGCAGTGGCTATTGGCAGATACCCGTTGCGGATATTGACAAACCTAAAACTGCCTTCATTACCTCCGCCGGCCTCTATCAGTTTAACGTCATGCCCTTTGGTTTGTGTAATGCCCCAGCCACATTTGAAAGAATGATGGACACTTTGCTGCGTGGTCTCACCTGGAAAATATGCCTATGTTATCTAGACGATATCATTGTTTTTTCCCGCTCATTCTCTCAACACTTGGACAGGCTAAAGCACGTCCTCGACTGCTTTCGATCAGCCCACCTCCAGCTTGACTAAAAAAAATGTGTCTTTGGAGCACGCCAAATCAAGGTTTTGGGTCATATTGTCAGCGCTGACGGAATTCGCCCTGACCCATCCAAGGTACAAGCCGTTTCCGAATTTCCAGTGCCCAAACATTTGAAAGACGTGCGCGCCTTCCTCGGTCTTTGCACCTATTTTCGGAAATTCATACCCGGATTCGCCCACATCGCTGAACCCCTGAACTCACTTCTCCGTAACAATGCAACCTTCCAATGGAGTCGCGAACAACACGATGCCTACCAAGCCCTCAAGACTGCCTTGACGACCGTTCCAGTTCTTGATCATTTCGTCCCAGGCGCCGACACGGAGATCCGCACAGATGCCAGCGGCCACGGCATCGGCGCTGTGTTGGCCCAGAACGTCTCCGGTGTCCATCGTGTGATTGCCTATGCAAGTCGTACGCTTACAAAATGCGAGCGAAATTACAGTATAACAGAACGCGAGTGTCTGGCTGTTGTTTGGGCAATTTCAAAATTCCGTCCTTATCTCTATCGCAAACACTTCACTATCGTCACTGATCACCATGCGTTATGCTGGCTAACAACGTTAAAAGACCCTTCCGGACGTCTTGGACGCTGGTCCTTGAAGTTACAAGACTACACATTTAATGTGCACTACAAATCTGGCAAAAGACACCTCGACGCGGACAGTCTTTCAAGATGCCCACTTCCCCCTGCGTCGCAACGTACACCTTCCGCAGACCCCGACACAACAACGGCCGTCTTAGACTACATCGACATTGCTGCCGCACAACAGTCTGATCCTTCCTTACACCCCATCATTCACCACCTACAGGGCTTATATCAGAACCCTCCTGCGCAAATTCTACGCCGTGCCCGTCTATTCCAACTCAGGAATGGAGTCCTCTATAGGCGGATCTATGACGTCCACGGACGCGCTTGGCTTTTGGTTATCCCCCGACAACTACAAAGAGATGTCATTCAAGCTAACCATGACGACGCAACAGCCGGACATCTCGGATTTGCCAAAACGTACTTCCGCATACGGAGTCGTTACTTCTGGACGGGCATGACCCGCACCCATCAACAAATATGCTCGGGCGTGTCACGACTGCCAGACGAAGAAAAGACCTACCACCAGGCTTTCTGGCAGACTACAACCGATTCCGCAACCATACCAACCATAATGTAAGCGAGCGCCATTCTGTACTGGCTCTTTTATTTTATTTCGCCGAGCGCATTCCAAGCAAGCGCCATTGTGTTTTGCCTTTTTCTTTTATTTCGCTGGGCGCAAGGTTCAGTTCTCAGAAGATCGTGACTTATTTGAACTCCTCGGCGCCGGGAATCTCGCACGTGGATGCCCGTGCCATGAAGGCGCGACTGGCTGGCGTCGGGCAGGATGCGGATCGGGTTACAGCCTTGGGCGAGACCAAGCTGCTCAAGAAAACTATGCGTCAGTCTAACAGCGGGACTCACAGCGAGAGTGTGTGTGCGATGGTGGTACGCGACCACCAATAGTGTCCGTCTTGTAAACGAAAATTGTATCGAGAATATTAAATCCAGTGTTTCTTTAATTCCAAAAACCCATTTGTCAAGACCTCGTTTATTATCAAGAAGTTATTTTATTTGAGACAACCATACGATTACATATCAGAAGTGGGATTATCAACCAACTCCTCGGAACGAAGAGCGGACCGAAGAGTGACACAAGCAATCAAGTGCGTCAAGCATCCAAACCCGTGGACCCTGGATCGACGAGTCAAGTGCGATCAGAGTCAGGTTGGAGCGACCCACAGTGCGACAGGTGGGCGACGTGTGTGTGAGTGCCTGCGATTGGGGGCTTCCCACTGTGCGGAACTCAAGGTTCAGGTACTGTCGGATTTTTCATCTGCCTGTGGAACTCTTTATCAACAGAGTTTTCATTTTACATATGAGATGTAGTGTATTATGTTGTGGCTTTATATTGTTTGTGCGAGCGTGTGTGTTGGGTGTAATTACATGTACACAGCTCAACGCTTCACCATGAACCAGAAAACGTCGGGAGCGTCTCCGAGCCAGGCGGGTTCGCCTGAAGTTGCTCACTCCATGGGGGACGGGTTTTCTTTGCATGAGCTCTTGGGAATGATTCGAGAAAAGGATCGTTTGTTAACGGACCTCTTGGGACGACTTGCCCTTCCGGCGCAGTCAGGCGCAGCGGACGTGAGCGGCGTGGCGACGTTCCAGGTGATGCCTGACCTCAGTAAGAACATATCCAATTTCGACGGAGGCGAGGACGCAGTAGCAGCGCGAGACTGGATTGAGAACCTAAAGAGGACGGCGACTCTTCATAAGTGGCCGACACCTTTCCTCCTGGAAACGGCAAAATCACATCTCACAGGAGCTGCCAAAGACTGGTTACGCTCACGCCATGCAGAAATTGCGTCGTGGGAAGATCTAGAGTACCAGTTTCGACGAACATTCGTTAGCCAGATCCGAGCAGCGGAACGCTGGAGGAGAATGCAAGACCGCGTCCAGCAGCGAAACGAGAGCACGATTTCCTACTTCCATTCGAAGATTCGTCTTTGTGGAGAGGCAAACCTCGACTTCTGCGATACTCGCGAACAAGTACTCACCGGCTTGCGTTCGCGACAACTGTGCACCATGTTAATGGGGAGAACACACGAGGACGGTGATGACCTCCTACACGACATACAGGAATTCGAAAGGATCGATAGGGAGCGACAAGAGCGCTTCGGTGGACAGCGTGAAAAAGGGGCTGCTACCGACACACCGCCAAACAGAGACCCGGGTTTGACGTCTGTCAAGAAAACCGTTGACGAGAGAGACAACAAGGATAAGAGATCACCAATACACAACGAAAAGGGTGAGCGTAAGTGCTACAACTGCTCACGGTTCGGTCACATTGCGCGTGACTGTCCAGAGCCAAAGCGCCCACTAAAGTGCCTGAGCTGTGGAAAAACCGGGCACACTCAGCGTCACTGCATCGAAAGAGCTCCAAGGAGTGAGACCAACGCCGTAAGCAACTCAAAAGAGAGGAGTTTCTCTGAAGTGCTCCTTAAGCAAGTCACATGGAATGGCGACAAAAAGCTCATTGGAATGATTGACACCGGAAGTTCCGGATGCCTCTTGCGCGCGTCTGCGGCGGCGCGTTGCGGTGCTGAGCTGATGAGAGACGCAACACCTCTTTATGGATTCGGTAACCAGGACGTCCCAGCAGTAAGGACAATTGGTAAATGCAGAGCAGACTTGGATATTGACGGTGTTACCGGGAAGGATATCACAATTTTTGTTGTACCAGACGAGGCCCAGTCGGTCGACCTGCTCGTTGGTCGAACTTTCACCGAGCTCCCGTACGTGACCTATGCTAGGCTGGGCGGATGTCTACGCTTTTGGCACAAGAGTCAGTGCCCTTTCTCCCACCTCGAACCCTTGAGCGACGATCCCAAGTTGATTGTAAGGACAACCGAAAAATCCACCCTCCAGGCGAACGTGATAAATTGGATCACGCTGTCATCAGAATCTGATGTCACTGGCCCCGTCCT